GGAATCTGAAGTTTCACAAATTAACTAACTAAAGTTCAGTTGGCCAACTCGGCCTCCGGGGTCTCACCTGTCGTGCAGCGGAAGACAGGCACGCGAAGCCTTGTAAGCTGGTCACAGTGCTATCAAGAGATAAAGTGTGGCATTCTTATGCCCAGCACAAAGGGAACCTCAGCTATGCAGACTTGATGACGCTCTGGAGAATCCACACTGCGGTTACATCTGCCCTAGAGGGATGGTGAGGACTCAGCAGTGCTACGGATGGAGGTCACCATCTGCTCTAGGGGGGGGGGATTGTGAGAGGCTTAGCAGTGCTACAGATGAAGTCACTATCAACCCTAGAGTGATGGTGAGCACATAGTGCCCCTACACATGAATCAACAGCAACATTCTCCCTTCCCACAGCACAGTAGTTACGATGAGGGGGAGCGCTCCTAGGCAGAGAGAGAATCCTATGCTGGCTGTCATATACCAGGAAGACCTTCGGCTCGTGAAGACATTGCGCTGTCAGGTTCCGTAATGCAGTGGTCGGCGCGTTCCTTATGGAGATCGAGGACCCGCATCAGCCACTAACTTACAGTTACTGCAAATTGGTGTCGCGGTCTTAGTGACGCAGATTCGTACCGGAGAGACATCCTACCCTAGGCTACAAAGTACACAAGGAACTGCCTCAGTGCTAGTGTACTGACACGCTATCTTAACAACACAAGGAGCTGCCCCGGTGGTAGTGTACTGACACGCTATCATAACAACACAAGGAGCTGCCCCGGTGGTAGTGTACTGACACGCTATCATAACAATACAAGGAGCTGCCCCGGTGGTAGTGTACTGACACGCTATCATAACAACACAAGGAGCTACCCCGGTGGTAGTGTACTGACACGCTATCATAACAACACAAGGAGCTGCCCCGGTGGTAGTGTACTGACACGCTATCACAACAACACAAGGAGCTGCCCCGGTGGTAGTGTACTGACATGCTATCATAACAACACAAGGAGCTGCCCCGGTGGTAGTGTACTGACACGCTATCATATCAACACAAGGAGCTGCCCCGGTGGTAGTGTACTGACACGCTATCATATCAACACAAGGAGCTGCCCCGGTGTTCTCAGATGATCACTGACACAGGAAGCCAAGAAATTTTGCCTGTCATGGTCTCCCTCCCTCTCTCTCCCCTCCCTCATCCATTTCCTCTCTACCTCATTTGCTCTCTCCCTCGTTGCCTAACTCCCTCCCTTCGTTCTCTCCCCCTTCCCCTGCTTCTCATCCTTCTTTTCGCCTTTTCCTCACTCCCTCTTTTCCTCCATTTCTATCAGTCTCTCGCTGTCCACTCGTCTCTTCCCTCAATCTCTCCTTCCCTTTGTCTCTTTCTGCCTTCTTCCATTTCTTCCTCCTCCTTTCTCCTAGAAAAGAAATGGGAAGCAGGAGGACCTACCGACTTTTCCCTTTCAAATATTTGCCTAATCCATTGCTATAGCTTTCCTTACAAAGCTTTACCCCTTTCCCATCCCCATTCCCTCCCTTAAACTCTCACTCGTCCCTCTTCTTCCTCTCCCTTCCCGCCTCTTTCTCCTTCCTCCCTTTCCTTCCGTTCCGTTCCCCGCCCTAGCAACGCCACAACAGGAAATCATAATTTGTTTTCAGAAAGTCTGCCTTCATGAAACTAACACTGGGTACCCGTGTCGACTCTCTCCGTGTTGTTGCTGACACGGACTTGTCGCGTTGCTGTACAATACACTCGGGTCAAGACATCATCATCATCATCATCACGTCGTAGACGAGGAGAGATTGAAGAGCTCATCTGTAATTACTGAAGTGTAATTACCTCAGTGTGGCTACTGGATGGGAGCTATACGCTCGTGGTGTCCCGTCTTCCCTGAACTCTTTGGCGTATAACTCTTTGAAAATGCCGACGTGTGTGTGTGTGTGTGTGTGTGTGTGTGTGTGTGTGTGTGTGTGTGTGTGTGTGAGTGTGTGTGTGTGTGTGTGTGTGTGTGTGTGTGTGTGTGTGTGTGTGTGTATTTTACTTATATCTCTCAACGTTCAGTATTCATGAGGCAGCAATGTGGCCACTTAAGAGACTTTCACCTCTTACCACTATCTAGGCGGCTTAGTCGGTACCCATCAAACCGTTACGGAGATCCCAGGCAGTGCGGAGACATCATCTGCAAGGTGCATATAGCGGACGACCTTGTAGCGCTTAGGAAACTTTCTTGTAATAAATTGCAAAGTTGCAATGCATTTGTCCGGGCCTCCATGCATGTCCCCTGCCTATTTACTGCTAGGTGAACAGCCGCATCAGATGAAAGAAACTCTGCCTCATTTTTCTACCTTAGCCTGAAGTCGAACCCGGGCCCTCAGACCTATTACCCCCGAGCGCTGTCCACTCGGCCACCGGCCCGTGTGTGTGTGTGTGTGCGTGTGTGTACTCACCTAGTTGTACTCACCTAGTTGTGTCTGCAGGATCGAGGATTGACTCTTGGATCCCGCCTTTCGAGCATCGGTTATTTACAGCAATGACTCCTGTCCCATTTCCCTATCATACCTGGTTTTAAAATTATGAATAGTATTTGCTTCCACAACCTGTTCCTGAAGTGCATTCCATTTTCCCACTACTCTCACGCTAAAAGAAAACTTCCTAACATCTCTGTGACTCATCTGAGTTTCAAGCTTCCATCCATGTCCCCTCGTTCTGTTACGATTCCGTGTGAACATTTCGTCTATGTCCACTCTGTCAATCCCTCTGAGTATCTTATACGTTCCTATCATGTCCCCTCTCTCCCTTCTTCTTTCTAGTGTCGTAAGGCACAGTTCCCTCAGGCGCTCCTCATACCCCACCCCTCGTAGCCTTTTCCAGTTTCATTATATGCTTCTTCAGATGGGGACTCCATGATGAGGCGGCATACTCTAAGACTGGCCTCACGTAGGCAGTGTAAAGCGCCCTAAATGCCTCCTTGCTTAGGTTTCTGAATGATGTTCTAACTTTTGCCAGTATAGAGTACGCTGCTGTCGTTATCCTATTTATATGTGCCTCAGGAGATAGATTAGGTGTTACGTCCAGGTGTGTGTGTGTGTGTGTGTGTGTGTGTGTGTGTGTGTGTGTTACCAGGATGGAGCATATGTGCGTGTGTTGAGTAAGGGAACAAATACCTACACTATACACGTACCGTCGTAGTGGACTGTGATGGAACGCATTTCATGGTAAATAAAGTTAAAGCATCTTTTATATTACCTGAGTTTACCTGAGAGCCACTAAAACTAGTGGCTCTCATAGGGATGATTTAGTTTAGTTCAGTAGTCCAAATTATAGTCCACAGCCTGATCAATTATTGTATTACTTCATCAATCCCTTTGTTTCTTGGCCTGATTTAATAATGTGTTCAAATTACCTTTCCTCCGAGTGTTGGCATTAACTCAGCATCAATGTGGCAAACACATGCCCGCGTACCCATGAACCAGGTGAGAAACCCTTTTTCCTACCTATGCCCCCCACCCCAGGAGGGGCTGGGGACATTCACAGACTATATAAGCGTGAGCGAGCACCGAAACATCTGCTAATTTTAACATGAAATTCCCCCTAACTTCATAACAAAGTGGGAATTACTTAGAACTAAAAATCACAGTGTCATATTGGTATCTTGAAGCCAGAGTCAGAGTGGTGGCAGCATGTAGAGACTAGAGTGACAAAATTATTAATCTAAGTAGTGGCAAGATATAAGTTGCTGGTGTAACCAAAGGGGCTCAACGGGTTGTTGCAATGTTATAGAATATAGATGATATTCAACGCTAGAAATGGTATATATATATATATATATATATATATATATATATATATATATATATATATATATATATATATATATATATATATATATATATATATAATGTTCAACGATAGAATGATATATCCGGCGGCGTTATAAATGGTGACAGCAAATGGCCAGTTATGTACTCTCGGATTAATAGTGCTCGAAAATTAGTGAATTGTGTGACCTGATTCAGAGGAAGTCTGATCAACCTACACGTTGAGCACCCCTTAAGTTGACTCCACGTTGAGCACACCTTAAGTTGACTTCACGTTGAGCACCCCTTAAGTTGACTCCACGTTGAGCACCCCTTAAGTTGACTCCACGTTGAGCTCTACGCGTTAAACGCCAGCGCGTTCTACATGTGTGAAGAGGTCGATATGTTCTACATATCAACATGATATAATGTTCTTCATGTATGAACATTCAATCCTAGGCCCAACGCTATTATAGGCCTAATATAATACATATATGTGATATACTAGGCCTAGTAATGCTTAACTGTATTTTTGCTATTTTACTGTGCCCATTTAAAAGCAAATAGTACAAACCTGAATATATGTTAGGTTCAACTGTCCATTTGTATACGTTCGACTTCGTACATTGCTCTAAGTACTATCGTTTATCCTGGAGGATAGTTTAAGTTAATTGGAAAGTCACTCAAAGCGGGGATTAACATATTTCTGTAAACAGGAATGATTGTGTTAATCATGGGTTGTAACAATTGAATTATATTTCCTTGCTGAGCTGTCTTCATTGATGTGTTCAGCATTGCTGATTGATGTACTCATATTCTGCATAAATATATGCCCAGTATTCTGTGTTGCTGTACTCAGTAGTCAGTATTCCAAGAGGTCTAAACATAGAGGCTACTGAGAACATATGAGCACAATCAAGTGTCTTAATAACCCCCCAATCCGAGGCTGTCTCATCATAACCCCAAACACGGTAGCCAATCCTGCACCACAGTAACTGAACTTGTTACATCTGGCATCCACGAAGCCGGTCTGGCAACCACACACACACACACACACACACACACACACACACACACACACACACACACACACACACACACACACACACACACGCACACACACACACACACAGGAAGCAGCGACATAATCAGAGAGAGCACATATTAGGAAAATCTACACGGACGCCAACGCAATAATATTATTTCCACCCTCTAACAGCCACAAACAATTTTGGTAGATCAATATCGGTGACCCCGGCTTCCGCTTGTGCTCCGCTGGCGTAGACGAGACGGGATAAACACCGGTGAACAGTCTTGCATGTAACCATTTGGATAAACTGTGTACTGAGTGATCTACTGTGATCCACATGCAGGTTGCATGTGGCAAGTTTTGACTGCAAGGAACGGGGAGAGGGATGGTGTTACTTGAAGGTAGGTATGCAATTGTTACTTGCAGTACGGAGAGGTGTTTCTTGTAGTGAAGTGACAAAACCCGGTATAATACCGGGCGAAAGCGATACAGTGATTTTGTTACGGGCTATTCATGCCCGTGCCACCTCTTGAGTGGCTTAATCTTTATCAATCAATCAATCATACAGTGATGGCTCCTATGGTAGCTTCTGGCGGATGAGTTGTTGAATATGTGGAAAAGATTATCAGAAAGAAGGTGAGCCACCGTGCGTGTTTCCTCTGACGAAGAGATCAACACTATGCAACTTGTCCCATTTACAAAATTCTCTTATACAGGAACAACTTTTCTAGGACCCAGAAAAATAGGTTAGCTATAGGTTTATCACACGTTTAGCGTAGATTTATGGAGAAGTTGACTACAATGATGTAGTGCTTAAATGTGAAGGAAAGACTCAGTACATGTGTGTATTAAACCTAATTTCCAGATGAAATCTTCATCCTTTATCAATGTGTTATTGTAAACAATTTGTTTACCATTTGTAAATGTAAACAATTTGTTTACCATTTGTAAATGTAAACAATTTGTTTACCATTTGTAAATGTAAACAATTTGTTTACAATTTGTAAATGTAAACAATTTGTTTACCATTTGTAAATGTAAACCATTTGTAAATGTAAACAATTTGTTTACAATTTGTAAATGTAAACAATTTGTTTACAAGACCTTGATAAACGATGAAGGTTCTCATTCGGAAATTTGGTATTAATGCACACATACATTAAGTCATTCCTTCACCTTCATATATTTATCATATATTTGATATAGGCTTGGCCTTACAAGGCGGTTTTGAGATCTGACTTACCAATATTAGCTCTCCTGATGAACATTATTTGGTACTTTCTCTTTCTTATCTTTTATTAAATCGAAATATTTTGTTTGTTTACATAAACGTAAATGTAAATTAAAGGAATAGCTGGCACCTGTATTGTATTGAGGTTAGGCATTTATTTGTTTGCACAAAAGAGTAGTTGGCAATTGAAGAGTATTATGGACTGGATTTTTGCTAAATATGCAGTTAAAAAAAATAATTTCGTTTACCATACTTTTTGTAAAGCTTAATATATTGCTAACGGGGTTGGGTTTAAAGCTTGAAAAATAATCAGGAACATTTTTAAAGCAACAGAGATGGGCGCCTTAGTGTCAAATACGTGGCTCACGTGACATCCTGTTCCATTCACATAGCTCACGTCATTCCCCAGCTCGTTCTCCTAGGGTTCCCCAACGTCAAGAAACCATCGTTCTAAAGTGCCCTCATCCTAACCTATCAGAGAACCCAAAACAGAAAACGGGACAGTACACCAATTTCGCGAGCCGCGACCATTGTCTAGTACGACAATTTTTGGCCTTAGGTGGAGTATACGTCAAAATGCAACGTTCTATCAGGAGGGCAGGTTGGAATCCCCCGCAGAGCAAAAAAAAAATTCTAAGACATAAAAGTGAATAATTTCCTAGTGATAAGCACACACAAAAGTCCCAAACAGCTGACGACAGCCGATAGAGCTATTCTTCCCCCCTCTTAATAACTTGAATCTGTCAACATTGCGGCAAGAAAAACTGTTCCATCATTAGCAATCTTCCGGTGGTGGTGTGGGGGGTCCCGGGGTTTAATTCTGTGATTATGTAGAAACTCTGAATCCCGATCACGCCGCGTTGCACAAGTTGCAAATGGTGATTATAGTCTTATAAATCCAGCGGTAGAACTATGAAGCAATGAGGAGGGGGGGCGAGAACGTGGCCATTACAGGCCACTTACTGCTCCCATTTAGAATAGTTATCTAAAACAATTCACAGAGGAGGAGGAAGCGGTGGATTTTGAGGCCTGTATTACTAGGTGTTGATGCTTGTATTTCATAGTTATGCTTCAAAACACTAGGGTTCCTGGATATAGTGTGTGTGTGTGTGTGTGTGTGTGTGTGTGTGTGTGGGTGTGAGTGTGGGGAGGATAGAGGTTATAGTGTGGGCAGATGTGGGATATTTTACGAGAATTGTGTGGGGTACATGCCAGGAGTGTCAGTATGGGGGAGTGTGTGGGTGAGAGGGTGTCAGTATGAGGGAGTGTGTGGGTGAGAGAGTGTCAGTATGGGGGAGTGTGTGGGTGAGAGGGTGTCAGTATGGGGAAGTGTGTGGGTGAGAGGGTGTCAGTATGGGGGAGTGTGTGGGTGAGAGGGTGTCAGTATGGGGGAGTGTGTGGGTGAGAGGGTGTCAGTATGGGGGAGTGTGTGGGTGAGAGGGTGTCAGTATGGGGGAGTGTGTGGGTGAGAGGGTGTCAGTATGGGGAAGTGTGTGTGGGTGTTTTCAAAGAATGTTTGTTATAACGTGTCTTGTGTCGCAACAACGAATTCATTAACACTCGTATGCAAGGATAAGTTAACAAAAGAGGTTACAACTGTCATCCTTCTCAGAAGTGGATAATATGCATCCACTGCTTCATTTATCCTTGTCCCCACCCTCTCTCTCTCTCTCTTTCTCTCTCTCTCTCTCTCTCTCTCTCTCTCTCTCTCTCTCTCTCTCTCTCTCTCTCTCTCTCTCTCTCTCTCTCTCTCTCTCTCTCTCTCTCTCTCTCTCTCGCATCATGATTAGTCATACAGGAGGAAGTGAACAGTATTCTGCTCTGGTAAACTTTGGGCTGCATTACAGAGATATTCTCAAGAACTCGAAAGTTAATTAAGTAACAATCATGCTAAACAAACCAAAAAAAATACCCATCTTTCTGGATTTTTTTTTTTTAAATTTTGCCCCGAGGGATTGTTAGTCATTTTAAGAGAAGCTCACAAATTGTCGAATAACTCTATAAAATAGAACTATAACTTCAGACTTTATTGGAGTCGTTGGGAGCCGAAATACGGGCCGATCTAATATATAGATATAAGATATAAGGGGGATGCAGAGGGGGGGACGACCCCGACCCTCCTCTAATAACCTCCATACAATCACCAATCAACATCTAATTTGTGTAAGGCTAGCGTTGGAATACCTCGCTTCCAACCTTTGACAAACAAGTAAATCTTTTATATCTATTAAAGATAATGATTCATTTCTCTCAATCGTTCCCACCTTCCCGGCCCTCCATCTACGGAACCCCCTTTCCAAGTTAAACTATAAGGGCAGACTTACTGTTCTAAGTCTAGTTCTAAGTTAAGTTCTAGATACCTGGTAGACAAATATGCAAATAAAGTATTCTAAACATGGTAACTACAACTACCGCCAGTTATACCACGGTACCTTGTTCTTCCTCTACTAAACCCACTCCTTTTGCTGCTACCTCTAAGCCGTCTGTTCTCTGTTCTACAATGAACACTTTACCTTCAAGGTTACCTTAAAAGAACAATGCCATTCACGGGGTGCAAGTCTCATTATTCTAAGCTCAAATTTGCTGTACAAATGTTGTTTAACTTCCTATGTATCTCATCATTATAAGTGTGTGGTTGGGTAATTGTGTTGCCACCTTTATCTGATTGAAGAGAGTTGATAATCTTAAGACGAAGACCTTTGAAATGTAAAGTAATTCAGAAGTGGGAAAATAACCGAATGAGATTTAGATCAGATAGAAGTGAAGGACTTACTCCATCAATCATGTCACTAAACAATGTAACTAATTACTTTCAGTCGTTGAAAGGATAAGTATGATTAAAGCCTTCAAGAAGCAGTTATTTAGGTATTAAAAGAAATTACATTATCATCGTTTGTGAAGCTTGAATACTACATCCTTAGAAGGCCCTAAGGTACTGTGAGAAAAAAGGAAAGAGATTGGATCATAGTCTTTGCGAAGGCTGCACATAAGAACTATTAGACAAGCTGAATCCGATAGACCAACAAACTTGGACAAACTTGGACCCGATAGACAAGTTCATCCCAAATTAGACTTCTCGAAGCGCCTTTTATGCTAAACTTAGACAATACGGCGGGTCCGACAAGTTAGAAATGATATAGATCTAAGCTGTGATAGGCTCATTTGTGCAGCCTGTCCCCTCGAGCGCTCACAACGTCACTACACTGATGTACTAAATTGTTCGACCCTAACCTAACGGAGGACCCCTTGAATAAAAAACGTGGGACGTTACGTTAGTTTTATTCCAGCCGCTAATGATTTTCAGTTATTGGCCTTAGGGGATTCATACGTCAAAAATGCGATGTGCTATTTGAGAGGACGGACTGATTCATGTCAAAGAAATACATTTTTTTTTTTATTATTTTCTACCACAGACGTGGCCATACATTTACAATGCTAACCAGCATATATACATTTTCTTCTGTCCTCCATGGACAGGGTTAGAGATGTGTTAAACATATAGTTCAGGGATTATTGAACAATCAACCACAGAAGGTGATTCGGTGCTTTTAAAATGCTAAGCTAACCTGAAATGCAATGACAGAGATAAAGAAAACGGAACACGGTATTCAGTGTGCGCGATGAGGTACTCAATATACATAAAAGAACAATTTTTTCCTTTCCTGAGGAGGAGACGGGGGGAGCAGAGCTTATCTTGAGGTTATCTTGAGATGATTTCGGGGCTTTTAGTGTCCCCGCGGCCCGGTCCTCGACCAGGCCTCCACCCCCAGGAAGCAGCCCATGACAGCTGACTAACACCCAGGTACCTATTTTACTGCTAGGTAACAGGGGCGTAGGGTGAAAGAAACTCTGCCCATTGTTTCTCGCCGGCGCCTGGGATCGAACCCAGGACCACAGGATCACAAGTCCCGCGTGCTGTCCGCTCGGCCGACCGGCTCCCTTCAAGGTGCTCCTTCAAGGTGTTTTACAGAAGCATTCGTCTGTGTTAACGTCCTGTGTAACTAAAAAAAAAAAGATATTTCATCGAATATAAATTAATATTTACGTATATATATGAATTTGCATAT